CGTTGTTGGGGCTTCTTGCACATTAAACTTTGTTTTAGGAATAAACTCTTACTTTGTATATCAGATGGTCAAGTTCCCTTGAAAATGTAACTGAACCATTAAGGAATGTATTTTATGTAAAACACACTTTTTTTAAAAGAATCGATGAAGACCATCATCTTGACCTGTTTCCCTTGTTTATCCAGGTATTTTTTTATCACATCTCGAATGTCGGCCTTTGTCAAGGGGAACCGCCAATTCGCAACAACAGCCAAAGTTTCAGAAATCAACAGCTCCTCGGACTTGCTTAAAACAGTCGGATGTCCAACGGGTTTTGAATTCCTTCCAAGCATGTTCCGTACTAATGTTGTCCGAGGCACTTTGAAAGTTTCTGCAGTCTTTTTCCTTGACATCCTCTTCCAAACTGTATTCATAGCGTTTTCCAAGTCTTCCACTTTGTAATTCATGTAGGGTTTTTACCCTGCAGATTTTTGATACGTGTGCACCATTTTTAATCAGTGACTTCCTTACAACAAACAAAAACATAACATAACCTTTCTTTCGTGCCACAGGACTGAACACGTATGCGTTGTGTCCATGTAGCCTCGGGGTGGCCAAGTAACCCCATCTTACGGTATGTGCGCCAAAGAAGCAGGAAAATTGGCATTTATAACATCCACAATGGACCATAATATACTATATACAGAGTGTCCCACGCGACAAAGTACATAAGGAGCCGAGATACGTAGTTCTTCCTTAGACAAAAGTTGTAGGAAATTTATCACACTATAAATGGAAAATATTTTTATACTTACAGGTGTTCCATAACGACGTACCGAAATAAACATACGTTATTTTAAATGGAATGATATAGTTTTTATTGCGTATTCTGATTCTACACACAAAACTAAGTTGAGTTTGATAAGATATGTTGATACCTAGCTGATTATTGGTTAGTGCTTGATTATGAATTACACAAAAGACGAATTTGTGACCATGGTTTTTATTTTGGAACAATGTCAACGAAATACTCGTCTTGCCCAAAGAGTATATCGTGAAAGATACCCAAATGCCCGACTTCCGAGCAGGCGATGTTTCGATAATGATATTGGAGATATTGGTAGTGTCGATAGTTCGAGAAGAGATGTTTTATTAAGTTTGTAAGAGTGTGAGTACACGACAGATCGCTAGAGCAACAGATATGAGTAAAAGCTCACTAAACTGAATTATAATGCTTCACAACTACCACCAAGAATTTCATGGAGATGATTTTGCTAACAGAGTAGCTTTCTGTACGACAACTTTTGATAAAATAAATGAAAACTCTCTTTTCGTATCATCAATACTACTGATATTTCAATACTACGGGGCAGCTGCACATTATTTTAGGGACGTTTTTCAAAACTTTAAATATTGGATATGTAATACATTGGATTGGTCGCGAAAGTCCAATATCGTGGCCAGCAAGATCACCTCATCTAACACCCCGCGACTTCTTCCTTTAGGGATATGTCAAAACCCAAGTGATATGCTAATATTCCAACGACGAAAGGAGATATGAAGAATAGAATAAGGAAAAACTTTATAAATATCGCTGCTGAAACACTAGATAATGTGTAAGTCGAATTCGTAAATCGGCTTTATCTATGCATAAAGCATAGATGGCAGATATTTGAACACTTATAAATAAAGTTTGGTTGAGAATTATTTATGGTCTTATTTCATGACCTACTAATGAAAAATGAACTGCCATTCTTTGCATGATATTGATTAATTCCACAATATCTCAAAAACTACAACTGATAGGTATAGGGACATGTACTGAAGATTTGTAGAGAATTAAATTCTCTATCTGATTAACTAGTCAACTATGGGGTTTCATTTAAAATTTTCGACTTTTTTACAATTAAATATGGTAAAACAGTTATTAGTTATTATAAACAGTTACATTATTATAGTTTCGTTACATATGTTTATATCAGTAAATGAAAATATGCTATATGAAAATAATGCTATAATAATGCTTTTGTTTGTTTAATTTTGTCTTTAGGTTAGTTAACCTTATTTGAAACAGTCCTTTTGCAAGACATAAGGTCAACCATCTTGTTGAAACCACATTTTGTAGTTCGTAGATACTGACTGGCACATCTTCTAACAAAGTTAATAAAGTATGAAATTTTTAAATAACGTGTTTTTTTGCAGAAAAACAGGCAATAATATTTTTTATGTATCTTTTAGAATAACTTGCCAAGGGTGTTGTACTACTCCTTTTTTTAGAAATCGTATGTCAAACTTAATAGACAAAAATTCTTTTAACCTAAACTCGATCAAACTAATAGTTTTTTTTTTTTGCAAAACTAACGACTTTTGTTTTTTGATTTGTGATTTCTGTAGTAGCATGGTTCACAAGGAATACATTATTAAAAAAATCACTATTAAATTGCGAGCGTTTCTGACCGTAGTACCTACCTAAAGATATGATGTAGGGGAACGATTTTTAACATATTCAAAAATATGTCTATTACCACTTAACTGAGAGACATGGAATGTTTTTCTTATATTTACCAGAACAGGTATGGGTTGGCCTCTCACCCGGTCCCCTTTGACGTTGAGTTTCGGGACATCCTGTATATAATATGGATTGAGCCAACGAGAGAGATAGCTTACGCAGGGTGATCCAACCGACATAGATATAGAAGCATACTCACATATAATGGACATATAAGCATAGTGACATAATATATAATATGTCTATCTTTGTTACACTTTCATATTATCGCTTTTCATCTGCGTCAATTCACCTTGAGCCACATTTTTGTTAGTAGATATATCCAGTTAGCTCAATCCATATTATATATAATCAAAAAGTTAAATATATGCCGTTGAAGTAAATCAAATTTGATTTACCTAGAACTATTATTTAAGGGGGTAGAACAGTGTAGCGGTCTAAAAAAATCGATTTTTGTATCGATCGACATTTCAAAATTGTCTGTTTAAATTTTTAGCAAGAAATTCGAAAAAATATCAAAGATACGTAACAGTCATAAGATACTACTCTAAGAAAATTCATGATACTTGCGTCAAATCAAGAAAAAATAAAACACATTTATCAGAGTATCAGATATTGTTGGAAGACCATGAGAAGGAATGTGACATTAATCACACGGGCTCCGCAGGTAAAATGGAACCTGATGCAATGATAGAAATTTTTTCAAGAGCTGAAGAATTGCATATTTTTTTATATATAAATTATATTGGTGATGGCGATTCAAAAACGTATGGCCAAATAGTAAAACAGATTTCACCAGATATTGTAAAAAAGGAATGCGTAAATCACGTACAAAAACGTATGGGATCAAGATTACGAAATTGCAAAAAATCGGCAAAGTGCTTAGGAAGTAAAGGTAAACTAACTGCAAAGCTTATAAAAAACCTTACGACATTATGGTTTGGCAATTCGCAGAAATGCAAATTCTGTAGAAAATATGAAAAAAAAGTATTTGGGCAACTATCTTACATAACTGCTCTACCGATGAAAAACCTCAACATGATAATTGTCTAATCGGTGCGGACTCGTGGTGTTCGCGGCAGAAGACTAACACAGCAGGAAATTTAAATAATTATAAACATAAGCCTGCCATGTCCGCTGAAGTTGCAGCAGCCATTCAGCCAATATATGAAGATCTGAGTAGAGACGACCTTTTAATCAAGTGTTTAGGTGCTTTTCATCAAGCTTAAATAATATTATTTGGAAGTTTGTACTAAAATCACTATTTAGCGGCGCAACAATTGTCAAAATTCCTGCAAATCTGGGCACAATATTATTCAATGATGGGCATGTCGCTCTGCTGAGTATCTTAGATCAATTGGATGTTGAGATTGGCCAAACTGTTTATGATTACTGCCATGATATTGATAAAGAGCGCGTGAAGAAGTTGTATGCGTGACTATTATGACGATCAAAATATAATTATGGACGTTGAGGAACTTCTATATGGTCTGATAAGTGAATCTATTTTTCATTGCAAATTATACGTTATTTAAAAGTGAAACTTTAAATACGTTTTTCATTAAACACCTTTTTTTGACCTCGTTGACAATCAAAAAATCTAACCATTAAATTGATATGAACAAAGTTTCATTTTGTAGAAAAACCGTTTATCTTCAACTATACGTAGCCGTTTTTTATTTGATCAAACAGATCTATACTTATTTCTTTTTTTTTTGTATAGCGAAATTCGCAAAATTTTTCACAATACTTAATTTGTCAATAATTTCCTTATTTTTAAAAATTTTTGAATTTTGCTACGTACAGTTATAGGTAATTATATTTGCCATTAAATCTTTCTTGGCTTTTCGGTTTTACATGAATCAGTCGACCAATTTGCTGTCAACCAAGGACGCCATGATTTTTTTTGAAGACTTCCATTTTCGGGTATTGTATATCGAAGATTATAAGTGTTTCTTTTTATTTTTGCAGTCTTCGACAATCATTCTTCATATGTAATATAACAGATATCTGTTATATCAAGTTGTTTTTCTTTAAAAAAATCCATAAGAAACTATATTTTTTACTCCGTTACAGTATTAAAAGAAAAAGTGTTCCCCTAATTTTTTTGAGCTGTGTAAATTCCCGGTATATAAAAACCTTGGGAACCGTATATATTTGGGGGATAACTCTTATCGGCACCGCTGAATACCCGATAAGTTATCCTGCCGATAATCTCACCGACAAAAATATCTGTACATTGTAATAGAGTACAAACTAACTTATCGGGCAGATAATGCTGTCGGGAAGTTTATTGTACAACGGTATATTTTGTTAATAAATTTATATATTGTTAACATAAAGAATAAATATGAGTTGAAGTTTATCGCATTAGATTGTCACTATTTTTTCCCGATTAAAGCATTCAAATAAGTTCGTTGTACGCAGATTTCTGCTGCTGAGTGTACATTTTTTTAGTTGAAAGGCAGATGATGTTTTTTGACATTATTAATATTAATTTTGTGTGTGACATTTGAGTTTAAAGTTTTCATGATGTATTCTTCTGGTGTAACTATTTCTAGTTGGGATTGTGCAACAGGGGAATTTCGTAAAAATGTTTTATCTAAATTACATACGCGTCCATTGGTACCAAAGGATAAAGATAAAGTTGAAAGCATGGTGACTGAAATAACTAAACGATTTTTTGGCCCTGTTGATGTTTTAACGCTTCTTCATTTATCTTATATGAGTATTGGATTAGAAAATAATGAAGATGAACTTGTTGCGGCTATGATTTTGAATAATTACCCCAATATTGCAAGTATTCCTCCATGGGATTGGATGTCGTGGATTTATAATCTTTACGGTATTGATTATATGCATTCAACAAATACATTATGGGTGCATTTTACCGATTATGTGTTTGAGTTTCAAAAATATTTCCTCGATCCGTTGTTGTCCGGAGTTTTTAATAGATACCCAAATCTGCAATTTATCAATTTCATTGCTCCACCATTAATAAAATTTACAGAATGGTTACTTATCAAATCCACCGAAATGAAACCAAATAATGATCCCGAACAATTATCAACGTGGCCTCAAAGATTATTCGTTTTCACTCGAGAAAAATTTACTGATTACTACAGGATGCGAGCGGCTGTTGTTGAAGACAACGATGACTTGGTAAGATTACTTCAAACGCACAGTAAACGTTTAAAAGATATTTATGGAGACTTTTATATCGCCGAAATGTTGAAGATCGATCCAACGAGAAATATTATTGTTGCGGAATGTGAACAGGATACTGTTGCTGTGATGTGTTTGAATTCTACTGTTAATATTGAATTACTTAACGAAGAATTCGAATTAGAAGCTTTTAACGCGTTACAAAAACCAAGCTCCATCGACAAATTTCGAAGTTTAATGCCCCAAGGTGATATTGAAAAAAAGGAAAGCTCACTTATTTTAGTGTCGGATCGCAACTCAAAGAAAACGAATGTCGATGGCGAATCGGACTCTACGTCTTTCACCTACGATTTAAATACTGCAGTAGCAACTATGAGTTTAACAGATCTGCAAACTCCATCATCTTCAGATGATGATATTGTTAGTGAAGGGGGAGGATTATTTGGTCCTAATGGTATAACTTACATCGGGATGGCGGACCTTAACTTTAGCAGTAGCCAATTGGAGTATAACCACGATATTCAAGCGGTTTGGACACGATTTAGAAAATTGAGAGGATCTGAACTCCCTTCGCAAGTTTCACAAAATGACGATTCGGATGAAGACTTTACTTCTTCTTATGGAGGTGATAGTAATTGTTTTACTTTGGAATTGGCGGCGGCTCATCCAAAACATGAATTGTCTTTGAGGATGTTGCTTAAAGCTAGTTTTGAATTGTATCCTAATAAAGATTACTGCGTTATGTCCGTTCCTAGTACGGCCCCACCTTTCGACTTACAAACGGGTATATTTGTACGAGTACCTCCTCGACCTAAATCTACATTTTCGAGCGAGTTATATGTTGTACATAGAAACGCTTTATACGGGCGCATAAGGGTTCGAGAAGCTTTTCATGGTGACATACCATCTGTGGAAAGATTACTACAAACTTGTTATACTGGTGATGAGGTGCTTGATTGTTTTTTGAAAGTTTTGAAAAATGTACGAGATGGATTACAACGAGCTTTTGTAGTTTTTTCTGATACAAGTATTATCGGTGTAGCGGTTATAAAAGATTTATATGGAGTAGAATACATGAAATCGCATTATAATATTTCGCAATACACAGATTTATCGAAGCACAAACCTGGATGTTTAGGAGAATTAGAATTTTTGTGTATGTCGCCGATATTTGTGAAACATACTCGTATCGTTTTGGTAGAATTACACAGATTAACGGATTACTCGTTTTTCTGTTATAAAACAGTCGAACCTAGACCGGGACATAAAGTTGCATATCCAACAGCATTAAATTACCTGCTACCGGTTATACCAATAAAAATTCCTCAATATAACATCGAAAAACAATCAGATTGTTTATGGAAATTAGATGAAAGTTTAACGAGAATTGAACTTCCTTACGCTTGCTACATCTGCACTCCTGTATATTGCGGTATCGAAAGAATCGAAGTAAACGATAAAGTGGTTATTGTAGGAGGTAGTAGCATAGCATTATCTTTTCTCGTTGAAATGATATTCCAACAAGAATCAAAATCTTTAGTAACTTTTAATAATATGACTTTAGTATCGACACATGGATTAGATTATTGTAAAGATAACTCGTTAAGAGACGTCATGCTACCTTTAACCGGCGAAATAGATTCTAAATATCTCTCTTTAATTTCATTACAAACTTATGTGAATGTAATCACGGGAGTTATGGAAGGTATAGATAGGAAAAAGAAATGCATAACAGTTAACGCGTCCGATGTGCCATATAGTATCCTTATTTTAACATGTGGGAAACAATACTCCATGCCCAGAAGAGAGAAATTAGAAAGAGACATTTACGAACATCCCAACAATGTTTTTATAATAAATACTGGCGAAGATGTCGATATAGCAGTTAATAAATTGACCCGTTATGTGGCCAGGGGAGGTAAAGGATCGATTATAGTTTACGGCCACACAATAGAGTCGTATTGTACCATACAAGGTCTATTGAAGATGGGAATCTTACCAGAAGATATCGTTTTGGTGTTGCCTGCCGAGAAAACTCGCGCGAATGAGTTTGACTCGACTTTTAACGATCTAGATATTGAAAGAACTATTATCGATCAGGTCAAATACATCGGTGTTACAGTTTATGAAGATTATTCGTTTGAAACGTGGAAATTCGATTCAAAACACTACAACGTAACGGCGATTAGTTTTCAATCAATGTATCGATCCACACAAATTCCCTGTTTAGCGGCGTTTTTGTATGTAAAAAAAGACGTTTCTACTAGAACTTTTAAAGCTATTCATAAAGCTGGGTTGGTTTACGATGGAGCTTTGGTTATTAAGCCAGATTTTACCACAAATGATTCGAATATTTACGCAGCTGGTACTTTTACGAAATATCCAAGAAGATATTACGCAGATCACATGTTACACGCTTATTATAATCAAACCGAAATTGGACAGAAATTAGCCAAGACAATTTTGACAAGATTGCTTTCATCAAGAGTCGAATTAAGAGCTAGATCAGAAGATATTTTTGATAAATGCCAAAATCCAAAGCAACTCCTTGTCCCCAGATTTAAAAATGCTGTTAAGATAACCGCTACTTTACCCGGAAATCTAACATATTTTCATATTAGAAAACCTGGATTAATCGAACCTCATGCGGTCTCACTTTTAAGAGATGATTACGGCACAATTATAACAACCGGCGATTTACAAAATCTCAATCGTCGCGGATACTTTCAATTACATCTAAACAAATCTGATTTCGTTGAAACGATAACATGTTTAAGCAAGTTTAACGTTCAAACAGTTAATTTAAGTTACGTTTGGGGTAAACACGAACAACTTTTAAACAATTTAAAACTCCGTTACAAAAATGGTGAAATTAAAGATCTTTATAAGTTTTTCGCCGCGCCTGCAATGATGGCGATTTATTGTAGTCATTTTGAAGAACTCGAGAAAGAAATTATGGATATCTTGATGAGTTTTGCTTTACATAATGGCGAATCTGTCATAGAAGACGTTATTAGTATGTTGAACCAAAATAATTGGAAATCGTTAACTGAGAAGCACCACCAAAATATGTTAGATAAATTTTTTGGATCTAATTATGAAAAGGTTGTCGAAGAAAAAGTTATGGAATTTTTAAAAGAAAATAAAACTATTTTACCTATGTATGGTGATGCTAACATGTATAATATGGTTATTGGGGAGTCTGACACTAGTCCATTATTTCGGCAATTATAGGAACACATCAGAAATATATCATGGAAACTACTTCCTTTTTTTTTAGTGTACGTTAGAATTATGTTTTACAATGATTTTATATTTATAGATATATTTTGTATATTTACTCAACAAGGAAAAACAAATTATGTATTTTTGTTGGTTTTATTTAAATAAGATTTGACAAAGATATTTAGAGATTTCTTACAAATAGCACAAATTTGTGAATATTTCCAGAAATTTAGGAAGGATTTTCATGATTTTATCAGACATTTTTGGAATTTACGAGAATGACTAGGTATTTCCAAAGATGATTTAATAATTTAAGGTGAATAAGGCATTTACGAATTTATATGAATAATTTTAATGCACACAAATTCCAACAGAGCTAACACCAGCACTAGAGCTAACACCAGCACTAGAGCTAACACTAGACATAGATAAATGAAAAATATACAAAAATGTAGCGCTGAGTAACAACTAGAACTAACACTGGACCTGGAACTAGAAACATTCTAGATTAATAAAGTACAGACTAATGATGGCTTCCATCCGCATCATACAATAACTTTTTGTGGATGCAGTTTTGTTCCGAAGCCCAACCAGCAACAAGTGCAAGCCTAAGTCTTAACGCAAAATTAGTTTCTAACGAAGTTTTATCATAAAATGTGCTGCTCTATCGTGTAAGATCGTGTAGTTAGACAACACACATTGTACTGCCTCGGTCGTAAGCGACCTCGGCTAATGTTACGGTGAGAAATTGCACGATTGTCTAATGAAGCCAAGGTCGCTTGCGGCCGAGGCAGTATAATGTCCGTTATAAAATTTATATTTATATAATATTAAGTACATTGCTTCGGCCGCAACCGAACTCGGCTAAGTTACTGGCAGAGAACAAATCATCTAATTTTATTAAGTTGAGGCTGCTTGCGGTCGAGGCAGTATAATGTGTCTCGATCAATTCCAACAGAGCTAACACCAGCACTAGAGCTAACACTAGACATAGATAAATGAAAAATATTTATTTATTAACGAAGTTTTATCATAAAATGTGCTGCTCTATCGTGTAACTTGCCATGGTCGTTTCGTATCAGTGACTCAATCATACAACAGATTTGACAGGCGCCACCAAAACAATATGGCCACCACAGACTCAATACTGACATATAGTACAATGTGTGTTGTCCAATTTATATTGATACAATGCAGCAAGTGGTCTTGGTTAATTTAATGACAAAGAAAAAATCACCTAATCTTCTCTTTAATAAACGAGACGCCTTGTGATCGAGGCGCCATAATAAATACATAACTAAATAAATACATAATAATTTTTCATAAATTACCACTAGGAGCTAGGATGTATTTGCGCATGCGCTTTCGGTGTTTTGATAATGCGGTAAAATTCCTATAAGAAACTATAACAAGTAGTCTAGACGAAAATATTAAACGTAACATTTTAAGCGATATATTCAAGGAGAAACTTGATACATAATATAAGATTTTAAATCCCATATCAGTAATTTTAAAAAATGTACAAACTTCCCAACCTTGCATTTCTCATTTTGTTGACTATTTTCAAAATTTGAATGATAATGACAAAGTGAATGCCCAGTTTTAAAAGTAAAAACAATTCTATCACTTTTAAAAGCACGAAGTGATATGGCTGTAACACCTTTACACTTAGCAGCAAATTTACTAGATCCAAAAATTATGGGAAACCTCTCAGTAACGACGAGTACATTGCAGCATTGACATATGTATATCAATAAATTATCGGCGCTTCTGGTTAATGGATCTAATGTAGCAAACGTTATGACTGAAATTGAATACTATAAATCAAAAGAACAATTATTTTCTAACGGTTTCATATGGAAAGCTTTGGATACGAGTGAACTGCATTCTGTTATATGGTGGAAGTCTCTTTGTTGTACTACATCTTTAAGCAAAGTAGCAACAAAAATCTTAAATTGCTCACCAACAACGTGCGCAACAGAAACAAGCTTTTCTGAATTATTTGTTTGAATTACATAGCATTCATATTTTGTTTCATTCGGAGTTTTTGTTACATAGTATATTTTAAATAGTTTGTATAAAGTTTTTATTAAATCAAAAACAAGTTAGATTCTACTATCCTTGAATCAAAATAATAAAAAGGTTACCGTCGTAATTTATCAAAAAAATTATTAAATTACGCGAGAATAAATTTGAGAAAAAAAAAAACGTAATTTACAACAGTAATTTACACAAATTATAAATTACCGTAATTTTACATCTCTGCATACCACGTCACTACAAAGTTAGACAACACACATTGTACTGCCTCGGTCGTGAGCGACCTCGGCTAATGTTACGGTGAGAAATTGCACGATTGTCTAATGAAGCCAAGGTCGCTTGCGGCCGAGGCAGTATAATGTACGTTATAAAATTTATATTTATATAATATTAAGTACATTGCTTCGGCCGCAACCGAACTCGGCTAAGTTACTGGCAGAGAACAAATCATCTAATTTTATTAAGTTGAGGCTGCTTGCGGTCGAGGCAGTATAATGTGTCTCGATCAAATTTATATTGATAACTTTACCCTAATATCTTTATATCATCGATTCTCAGTTGTAATGTTGTCCCAGGTCACTGACTGATGAGGAGCCACAATATGTGTTAATTTATTTTGGCCTGTTACAGTATCAAGTGTTTGAAGACGCACGGATAAACCCGAAACTTTCTAGTTCTAAGTTTAGTGTTAGTTCTAGTTTTGGTTCAATAAAAATATGCGACATAGTGATATCTAGTGCTAACTAGCGCTACCTAGCACTGTCATTAAAACTAATACTAGAAACCGGGACGTACGGTTTAGCCGTACGTCTCATAACGCGGCTAAACCAGAATGTTTCTAGTTCTAGGTTTAGTGTTAGTTCTACTTTTAGTTCAATAAAAATATTCAACAATCTGGCACTGAATAACAATTAAAACTAGAGCTAACACTAGACCTAGAACTAGAAAGTTTCGGATTTAGCCGTGCATCTTCACTTCTAGTTCTATTATCTGTTTAGATGAAGTGAACCTGAGCGAAGCCACGCCTATTTCCCCCCACTATTACATAATAGCCAGTTTCACATACAAAACATACATACATACAAAGAAAGAAAATAAACGTAAACGACAAGGAAAAGAATAAGATAGAGAGCTGTTTTTGGTTGACCTTTGTAAATCGGGCTTACCAATAGAAAAATTCTATTAAAATTTTGCGCGTGTTTGTGGAAGGAGCTGTAATTTCAAATCGCTGCATCTGTTCGATGAACGAACTGTAATTTAAGTTTCAAAAAAATATGCAACATACGCTACTTAACACAAATTCGATTTTGATAATGTCAAAATTTTAGATACAGAACATAACTCTCATAACAGAAACTTCTTGGGAGTTTTCCACATTAACTACACGAATGACTATTAATTTCAAAACAGATACTCAGTTTTTAAGTAACATCTATGCATACATCATTACCAATGACAAAAGTAGGAACAGGTAGTAAGAACAAGTCTTTAGCCAACGTTGTTCTAGCTTCTAGATATTATTTTATTTTTATTTTAGTTTTAAATATGTCAAATTATAATATTCTTTTATGCTTTGGTTCATCAAAACGATTTTACGTAACCGACTTCTAGAACAAGTAAGTCATTTTATGATTATATTAAGATTTCTTGCTAAATGTAAATTTTTTTCGAACCATTTAGAACCAGAAACAATTGGGCTTAGCTAAACCCGAATGATTCTAGTTCATGGTCTAGCGCTGCATAATAATTAAAACTAGAACTAACATTTGGGTTTAGCTAAACCTGAAACTTTCTAGTTTTAGGTCCAGTTTTAGTTCTATAAAAATATGCAACATAGTGATATCTAGTGCTAACCAACGCTACTTAACATTGTGACTAGAATTAACATTAAACCAACAATCTACCACTGAATAACAATTGGACCGCGTTATGCATCACTTGACTAAGCGACAAATGAATAATGTTGAGAAAAGCGGGATTTTCGTTTTCATCTCTCTAAAAATATACAACTTCTCAGAATAGATAGGCTCAAACTATTGAAAATTGTTTGGTGCCTGTCTATTTGATGACAGCTATTACAAGCACAGAAGCCGCTTAGTCACTCGTTACGTTTTACGATTATACAGGTGTTTCTGTAAGTCGTGGCATAAATTTAATCACTAAAACTAGAGACAAAATAATGACGATTCGTGTAAAAATTTTTGAAGAAGATAATCTAGAGTTTGATTTTCTACTTTTAAACTGGTTTTTATTTTATATAGAATTTAAATCTTATACCAGTTTCGGCCGTTGGCCATCTTCAGAGACTCTACAAATAGATTAACATCTCTCATCTTATCCATTTTACAAACAAGTTTCTTAATATTTCTTTTTGTTTTGTTAAAAAAGATCACATATCAAAATCAAAATCAGATTATTAGTTACTAATTTACAAAAAAGGGAAAAATTCAAGAATCATCATGTGGCTTAAAAATCGACGTTTTTTTCTAATCAATATGAAATGACCCAAAAAACACGTTAAAAATAAAAAGAAAGTGCGAAAAAGTGACTAACACTACATAACTTCAGTTATAAAACTTCTATTACATGATAACTAACTTCAGGTTTAAAATGTCAACCTCAATTTTGACATATTTGTAATCTTCATTAAAAATCCTTTAAAATGAGTACAAACACGACATATTTATCTTCAATATTAATGAAGTTATGGTCAACTTCCGGTTAAGAATGTCAACGTCAATTTTGACATATTTGTAATCGTCGTGAAAAATCCTTTAAAATGAGTCCAAACATGCGTTTAATAAAAATCCGTTTAATTCCAATATTACTCGAGATATACGCAACTTCCGGTTTGAAATGTTAATGTCATTTTGAAATATTCTTAATTTTTATAAAATGTCTTAATATTTGTCACAAAAACAAAAATAAAAAATTAAGGTTGGTATTAATATTTAAAAATTAAATTGCTATCTTCATTGTTGCTAACTTTGGGTTTAATGTTTTTTATTCTAACTTTTTTGTTTTTTTTTAAAGTCCCTAGATTTACAAAGTACCGCGGTTTGACGCCATTTTGGCTCGAAAGTCAAGCGGGAAATTTAAAACTACAAAACATTACGCCAAATTTTCTTTCTTTTTTTCTCGTGGTACTCTGAAGAGTTGAAAGTCCTTCTTACTGCTATTTTTGCAACTCCAAAGACAACAAGACGGAAATATTTTTGTAAATAAGTGGTAAGATGCAGTGACAAGCTGTCAAACCGCCATTTTGACTCGAAAACAGGCTTCATGAACCGCGGTACATTGTAAATTTAGGGAGTTTATGTTTTTTGAGATAAGTGTGTCTTCTTTAGACTCATTTTAAAGGTTTTTTAATGAAGATGACAAATATGTCAAAAATGACGTTGACGTTTCGAACCGGAAGGGATTGTATTTCCATTAATATTAAAGTTAAATATGTCGAGTTTGGACTCATTTTAAAGGATTTTTTATGAAGTTGACAAATATGTCAAAATTAAAAGTTGAAAGTTCGAACTTTTTGATTTTTTTGAGATAAATGCGTCAAATTTGGACTCACTTTAAAGGTTATTTTATGAAGATCACGAATATAATAATAAAATTAAAGTTGACATTGACAACTGAAAGTTTTTTTCACAACCAAACCCGAATGTTTCTAGTTCTCGTTCTAGTTGTAGTTCAACAAAAATATATAACATAGTAATATCTTATGCTAACTAGCGCTACCTCTCACTGCCACTAGAACTAACACAAGACCGATAACTAGAAACATTCGGATTTAGTCCCACGTCTCTCAAGACGGCGAAACCCGTATGATTCTAGTTCTAGGTCTTGCGTTAGTTCTAGTGATAGTGTGAAACTAGAAGTCAGACTAGTGTTAGTAGTCTGAAGACGCACGGCTAAACGGCTATCTTCGCAAAATGGGTTGATATATTAAAGCGCCGAGGTCACTTGTGGGCGAGGCGCTACAATTTATAACGTATTACATCATCTCAGCTGAAATGAACCTCGGCTAAATGTAAAACGATTTATACGATATGGTTTTATTAAGATGAGGTTGCTTAAAATCTACTCGCTTCAATTAATATTATATCCCCGTTAAATTAGTTGTTATATTAAAGCGCCGAGGTCGCTTGCGGGCGAGGCGCTATAATTTGCAACATTTTATACCACCTCAGCCGAGATAAAGCTCGACTAAACCTAAAACGATGATTATATGATATTGTTTTATTAATGTGAGGTTGCTTGTAACCTAGGAGCTTCAATTAATATCATATCTCCACAAAATTAGTTGATATATTAAAGCGCCGAGGTCGCTTGTGGGCGAGGCGCTACAATTTATAACGTATTACATCATCTCAGCCGAAATGAACCTCGGCTAAATGTAAAACGATTTATATGATATTGTTTTGTTAAGATGAAGTTACTTAAAATCTACTCGCTTCAATTAATACTATATCTCCGTTAAATTAGTTGTCATATTAAAGCGCCGAGGTCGCTTGCGGGCGAGGTGCTACAATTTGCAACATTTTATACCACCTCAGCCAAGATAGGGCTCGGTTAAATCTAAAACAATGATTATATGATATTGTTTTGTTAATATGAGGTTGCTTGTAACTTAGGAGCTTCAATTAATATCATATTTCCGCAAAATTAATTGATATATTAAAACGCCGAGGTCGCTTGCGGGCGAGCCGCTACAATTTGCAACATTTTATACCACGTCAGCCGAGATAGAGCTCGGCTAAATCTAAAACAATAATTATATGATATTGTTTTATTAATGTGAGGTTGCTTGTAACCTAGGAGCTTCAATTAATATCATATCTCCACAAAATTAGTAGATATATTAAAGCGCCGAGGTTGTTTGGGACCGAAGCGCTACAATTTATAACGTATTACATCATCTCAGCCGAAATGAACCTCGGTTAAATGTAAAACTGTTTATATATTGTTTTGTTAAGATGAGGTTACTTAAAATCTACTCGCTTCAATTAATACTATATCGCCGTTATATTAGTTGCTATATTAAAGCGCCGAGGTCGCTTGCGGGCGAGGCGCTACAATTTGTAACATTTTATACCACCTCAGCCGATATAAAGCTCGGCAAAACCTAAAACGATGATTATATCTGATTTTAATTTGTTTTTTAGAGGTATTCTTCTATATTGATGACGAGGTAGAAGGCCGTACTCTCGATGTAACCGTTGAGGCGTAGGTTTTTGACGTATATCGGTTTACTGAGTTATAATTAGTTTTTATTAAGTTTTAAATTGTGATGTATAAAAATATTACTATTGACGATTAAAGTTTTTGGTAAGTTATCACGTTATGATAGTCGAATATTTTTTGAGTGTCGCATTAAGGTTGAAATATAAATTTTAATTGCGGAGTCTAACCAAAATCATTGTTGCAGATCAAAGTTAATAATTGTAAGAATTGTATTTGAAAATGGAATAAATTTCCGAAACGTCATACAAAAAAATGTTACGTTGAAATGGTTGGTTGAAATGGTTGGTTGAAATGGTTGGTTGAAATGGTTGGAAAATGGTTGTCAAATATAATGTCATCATTTTATAAATAAAAAAATTAATAATTGATGATTATATGATATTGTTTTATTAATGTGAAGTTGCTTGTAACCTAGGAACTTCAATTAATATCATATCTCCACAAAATTAGTTGATATATTAAAGCGCCGAGGTTGCTTGGGACCGAGGCGGTACAACTTATCTCTATAATCAACAATAATCTACTATAACGTTGATTGTATGATATTGTTTTATTACTCTGAGGTTGCATACATCCTAGACACTTTTAGTTCAATAAAAATATACAACAATCTAGCACTAAATAACAATTAAAACTAGAACCAACACTCTTTTAGGTTTAGTCTTCAGACGCACGGCTAGAACATGTTGAGGAACAGAAAGCAGCAACATGTTGCATCCAAAGTTTGATAGAACTATTTCAACAAAACTAAATCTGCCATTATGCGACATTAAAAGTATTCATTCGATCCAAAATATTTTCGTCACATTTTTAATTGATAATTTAGAAGACGATTTGTCGAAGAAAATGAAATGAAAGTTAAAAAGGGGGTGTTGTTTAAAAAGAAACAAAACATTTTTGACTTTGAGCTACCCCAACCCATAATAAAACCAAATCACACCTAATTGCCAAACGATGAACCGTCCACGGGCCCTCCGCGCCCCACAGAAGGGGTACGAACACATGTTTGTCAACGCTCGCCGTTTATGTGCGAGGGGAAATTGAGAGAGCGAGAGAGAATAAGAGAAAGAGGGGGACGAAACGGGATATAATCGGGAATCGGGGGTAGTTTACTCGCCGACGCCACTCAGTTCGCGTCCGGACGCCAAACGTGCTTGTTCTCGACATGTTATAGACTCGTTAAATACCGTTTTTGATTAAGAAAATAATCTGATGTCACCAAAGTGAATTCATGTACTATAATAAAATTAAAGCGAAGTGAATACATTCTCTATTAAATAAAAAAAAGAGGATATGTTTGTGTGTCTACGTTTTGTGAAACTTTCAAGGATATAATAATTATAAAAATTAAGGATGCGACAAGCTTTTCCTAAAACGGTGAGAAAAAAAAGTTATTAACTCTTTCTTTTGACGAACAAAAAATGTTAGAGCCCGCATCATATCTACTCGTAACGAATTGAAACGGATCGACGGTAGCGTTCGTTTCCACTTTACCCACCCCCTCCACTCTTAGAAGTGAGTTATAAAGTGTCGACTTTGGTGGTGAGACGAAAAGAGGGTCGTTCCCAAGTTCTGTTTTAATTACTCACTACTGTTGATGTGTCTCCTCTCCGCGTAGTATTACCCCCGCTTTTCCCGCAATCTCTTTTCAACGCGATTTTTTTCTTCTCGTTCACCGTCTTCCCCCCCCCCCCTTTATTCCATTTTCTTTGGTCGCGGCCTTTTAATTATCGCTCGGGGCCCCTTTAATTACTGCTATTATTATTGGAAGTCGTCTCTGCTCTCTTCTTCTCCATCTTTGGCGCGACTCATTTTGGGTGTAATTCGTTCGGACGACCCCTTAAAGTGGGTTAAAAATCGGTCGAGGGTCGTGTCCGACCCTCACGTGAAGGGTGCGGTGTATACAAAGGCGCCCCTACGGTACCCCCTCTTCATCTGTATCCCTTGAAACGAAAATATCGCAATAAAACGTTTTACGAGAGAGCGGTAGCCCTCTCTCCTACCTGTGCGCGTTCTCGACGCCTCTTTGTGTGCACCCCCCGTATGGGATGTGGTGCTAGATCACCTGGATTTTCGGGAAATATCCGGAAAACATTCGTCTAGTTAAGAAAAGAGTCTAACGATCCAGGTAGAAGTAAAAGAAACCTGTGAAATCTAACTATTATGGTTATTGTTAAATGGGACTATTGTATTAGTTTTCTTGGAAATGTTACCTGTTTTAAAAAAGCCTTAAAGAATTTCGAAAAGCTTAGTATGATAATTAATAAGTAGGTTGTCTCTTTTTTTGTAGTCATTCTAACGTTCGAAATCATTAATTGGAATGAATGGAATTTAGGGTTTGGATTTGATTTGTTTCTTTTTATTACAGGTGAGTCCATCACATCCTTCTTCGAGACTCTTTAAGGCGGCTCAGGTAGCTATGTTTTATTACTACTTATCTAGATTTAAAAGAATCTTAAACTTCACGTTAACATTAAATATTTTTGTGGATAGAGTATAGAAACTCTATTTTTTAATTCGAAGGAGTGAAATGATAAGTCAATGTAATTTTTCAAAGCTATTTTTTTGGCGGGAGTTTTAGAATCAGAGAGGATTTTAAGTAAACTGCCGTTACGAATTTAATTACTTATTTGTTTAAACATAATAAAAACCAGAGCGTACCTACTTACTTTGTCTTACATAAAATGCAACATGCCAATATGACATTACACTAAAACCTCGATATAACGGGTTAATGCGGGGAAGACAGTGTCTGTTATAACTCAATAAAAATATGCAATAATCTAGCGCTGAATAACAAATAAAAGTAGACTAATACTAGCACTAGAACTAACACTACACCTAGAACTAGAAACATTCGTTTCTATACCTTTCTTAAGACGGCTAGCAGGTGGTAAATAGCGCTAGTTAGCATAACATATCACTATGTACCACGTTTTTATGGAACAAAAACTAGAACTAACACTAGACCTAGAACTAGAAACATTCGGGTTTAGCCGTGCGTCTAAGGACGCACGGCTAAACCCGATATTTTCTAGTTCTAGGTCTAGTGTTAGTTCTAGTTTTACACTAGCAATAGAATTAACACAAGACCTAGAACTAGAATCATTCGGGTTTAGCCATCTTGAGAGACGTGTGGCTAAACCCGAATGATTCTAATTCTAGGTCTTGTGTTAGTTCTAGTAGCAGTAGTAGGTAGCGCTAGTTAGCATAAGATATTACTATGTTGTATACAGAGCTGGGCAAACTACTTGAAAAAGTAGTGGAATATAACTACTAACTACTTTCACCAAAAACTACTTTTAAAATATGGTACTTAGATTACCCTTAGATAGGTACTGAGAAACCCAATGTAATAAATAAATAAATGTAAAATAAAATAAACATCTTTTTATTATACAGGATGTTACAAAAATGTTGGGCTGGCTATACATAGACGGTGGTTTCTACAACTAAAAATAAGCAAAAACGTGTATACAGGGTAATTCAAATTCGACCCCCACCATTGGGATCTCAGAAACCAGGTTTTTAAAATATGGCCGCAAAACAAAAAAATGACTTTTTCTTTTTTTGCTTATAACTTCTTAATTTTTTGTTTTTTCGTGAACTTGAAAAAACATTCTTAAGGTGACTTTTTATGAAAAATGTCATGACACAACTAGAAATTTTCTCCGACGTTTCGTTTTCGTGAAACTATCATCCGGTTCGAAACGTCAACGTCATTTTTGACATATTTGTCATCTTCATTAAAAAACCTTTAAAATGAGTTCAAAGATGACCCACTTATCTCAAAAAAACAAAAAAGTTTGAATAAAAAACGTTAAACTCTAAGTTAGCAACAATGAAGATAGCAATTTAATTTTTAAATATTAATACCAACCTTATTTTTTTATTTTTTTTTATTATATTTGTGTTTTTGTGACAAATAATAATAATAATAATACTTTTTATTCACCCATCAATAATAAGAAGAAAGAAAACAATCAATAATAACAAATAAAATAATAATAAAGAAAAAAAAAAAAACAAAAAAAGTAATAATAAATTAGCCGCACATCTCTTAAGACGGCTAAACTCGAATGATTCTAGTTCTAGATCTTGTGTTAGTTCTAGTGATAGTGCTAGTGTAAAACTAGAACTAACACTAGATCTAGAACTAGAAACATTCGGATTTAGCCGCACGTCTCTCAAGACGGCTAAACCCGAATGATTCTAGTTCTAGGTCTTGTGTTAGTTCTGATGATAGTGCTAGTGTAAAACGGAATAATTCTAGTTCTAGGTCTTGTGTTAGTTCTAGTAGCAGTGGTAGGTAGCACTAGTTAGCATAAGATATTACTATATTCTATATTTTTATTGGACTAAAATTAGAACTAACACTAGAGAGTCTGAGGACGCACGGCTAAACCCGATATTTTCTAGTTCTAGGTCTAGTGTTAGTTCTAGTTTTGCACTAGCACTATCACTAGAACTAACACAAGACCTGGAACTATAATCATTCGGCTGTATCCGCCTTGAGAGATGTGCGGCTAAATCGAAGGTTTCTAGTTCTCGATCTAGTGTTACTTCTAGTTTTACACTAGCACTATCATTAGAACTAACACACGACCTACAACTAGAATCATTCGGGTTTAGCCGTCTTGAGAGACGTGCGGCTAAGCCCGAATGTTTCTAGTTCTAGATCTTGTGTTAGTTCTAGTTTTACACTGTTATGAGAACTAACACAAGACCTAGAACTAGAATCATTTGGCTTTAGCCGTCTTGAGAGATTTGCGGCTAAACCGAATATTTCTAGTTCTCGATCTAGTGTTACTTCTAGTTTTACACTAGCACTATCATTAGAACTAACACACGACCTACAACTAGAATCATTCGGGTTTAGCCGTCTTGAGAGACGTGCGGCTAAACCCGAATG